AAGATAAGACAGCACCATTTTACTAACAGTAAGTCTGAGCTCAGGATGGCAGCACGGCCAGATTCTAGCGAGGGCAGATGGCTCACTTCTTGCTGTGTTTTCACGTGATGTATGTGATGGAGGCAGCTCTCTGGCCTCTTCTCAAGACAGCACTGATCCTATCGGTGAGGGCCATGACCTAGTCACCTCCCAAAGGCTCCATCTAACACCAGCATATAGACGGATAGAGGGATAGATAGATGGATGGATATCTAGATATATAGATATAGATATAGATATGATGTGTAATGATCTGTTTCTACTTGCAGAATTATTTCCCATGCCTAAGGAATACTAAAGCCAGTTGTCTTAATTTTAAGACAAGAAATGCTGATGGCTTGGGCCAGGCTGGTGGTGGTGGTGGGACTCAGTGGGGTGGAGATGGGAAGAAGGGGTCAGATTCAGGACATATTCTAAAGTCCAAAAGACTTGTCTGACAGACCAGGTGGGAAGTATGAGAGATGGAGAAGATGTCTTAGCTCAGGATGCGATAACAAAGTGCAAACAAAGCTTACTGATGACAAACACTTGTTTCTTACACTTCTTGGAGGTGGAGGTTTGAGATCAAGGCATGGTCGACTGCTAGTGAGAGCAGATAGCTGTCTTTTATAGTGTTTTCCCATGACTGAACACAATGGGAGCCATCTCTGGCCTCTACTCCTATTCCCGAGCATTCCAGCCTCATGACTTAGGCTCCACTTAATACTGTCATATGGAGAATTAGATTTCAGCATATGAATTTTGGGGGGAACCTCCAGTCTGTAACAGAGGAGATGGGGAGAAATGAGTGTGCGAATGCTAAGTAAGCTGTTGTCACTAACAAGAATGAAGAAGATGATACCTCAACAATGATCTCATGTCTTCTTGGTGCCTTGGTGCTGGTGACACTTCAGGGAAAAAGCTGGGCAGGCACCCCAGATCTCAAGAAGCTTGCATTGTTGGGATGCACACAAACAGTCCATACTCATGTATAATAGATCAGATGATGGTAAGTGCTGAAGGCGTGGGCAGCAAGGAAGGACAATGGGCAGTGCCAGGGGAATTCATCTGTGGCCAATTCTTAGAATTTGCTAAATAATATATGAGGTTTTATTTCTTTTTAATAGCTCGATCCTGGGAAATGCATTCATTTTATCAATTTGACTGCCAATGAAACAGAATATGAGTTATACACTTAGCATTTCTAGAGTCTTCATTAGAAAGGGAGAGTTAAGACTGATACCCTTCCAGCATTGTGGTGCAGTGGGTTAAGCCACAGATTGCGATACCAGCATCCCATACTGGGGAAGGGGTACGATTCTCAGCTGTTCCACTTACGATCTAGCTCTTTGCTAGTCCGGTGGGAAAGCAGCAGAGGACAGCTCAAGTGCTTGGGCCCCTGCCACCTACCTGGGAAACCCAGATGGAGTTCCAAGCTCCTGCCTTCAGCCTGGCTCAGTCCTGGCTGCTGCAGATATTCGGGGAGTGAACCAGCAGCTGGAAGATTCTGTCTCTGTCTCCCTCTCTTTGTCACTCTGACTTTTGAATAAATAAATAAATAAATCTTAACAACAACAAAAAAGAAAGGTGCCCTTAGCAAGGGCAGCGTCTCTTGAAACCCTTGGTCATAAATGCCATAGGGATAACAGGATATTTTAGTATTGAGTGGTAAACTGTACTTGGTTAGAAAGTAGTCAATGCAGGTAACTGGGTTTAGATATCTACTTAAGATCACTTCTATTTAACCTACCCTGCTTGTCCTCATTAGGGCTTTTCACTTGGAACGCTATTATAGCAATCATATACTATATTTTTAGCATCTTATATAAACTTCCCCCCAAATGCCTTAGTTATATAACCCCCCTCCTCATGAGGTTTCCTCCAGCCTCTCAGATTTACAGCAAGGGTGAGGAGGTGTGTGTGGTAGGGGGTCCCTGTCCAAGGTCTGCCCATGGTCATGACCCACAGACTGACAGACTGGTTCTCCCTCCTGGGAACAGAGCTCGGGCCATGCCCATGTTGTGTGTTTCTTGGTACCCCCCCCCTATTCTCAGAATGCACCTTATGCTGTTAGATTTTCATCAGGTGCCCCATTGCTCTGTTCCTGGGTCTGGGAGACTCAAACAAACCCTAGGGCTGGGCCCCACAGGCAGAAGGCACCTTGGAGGCAGTTTCACTTCTCTCTATTTACAGATGGCAAATGTCACCCAGAGAAGCCAGGTGACTTGTCCCCAGGCAGAGAGGCAGAAACAGGCAGCACCAGGGTTCTGGATTCCCTCTCCAGGATGTTTTCTCTTAGACCAGGAGCTACTCAGATCTCAGTTTTCTCCTAGGCGTAGAAAAGGCACTGATGACGGGAGATTTGAGAGTTTACCGTCCTCACTGCACTGAACACAATGCTATCCACTGGCATGAATGAGGAAGAGGACACGCTTTGTTGCTCGGCTCTTTAAAGCTTACATTCAGTCTCTCTTTTTCAATGATAAGAATGTGAAGAAACAAATGGCAGAGTCAACCATCGCCAGAAAAAAAGAAGGTTCCAATACAAATCTTCAGCTGACTTATGAGCAAGAAAAGCACTGTGTTATGTTATTCTTAAATAGGAGTTTACCGAACTATATCAGGAAGAGTCTTACCGTGGGGCAGTGGGCGGGAGGAATAAGCAGGGAACGTGGTGATAAGCATTTTCCAAATTAGGAAACAGATACGCTTTTCTTCTCACTCTCTTACATAACTGATCTATTTTAGAACACAACACGAAAAAACTGAAATGAAATACAAATCGCGGGATTTTACTACTTCGTTAGCTAAGAATGACACAAGTTAACACTCCTCAGAAGAGAGAGGAGAACTCGTCCTCCATCTCTCCTGCTTTCCCGGGCTGACTTGCAGGATTCCCTCTTTTCCATCACAGCCTGCTGGCTGAGTCAGAGACCAAAGCCTACATTTTAAAAAATGAATGAAGACACTAATTTCTCTGTCTCTTTTGAACTGGAAAAAAAAAAAAAAAAGGGCAGTTGCATCAAAGCGCAGGTTCCTTTCTGATGGTCCAGAATGCAGAGTGACCTGTTAGGGTGCCAGCGACTGCTTTGCTACACTTCCTGATTCAGAAGAGGTTGTGCAGCATCCAAAGGCCACAGCGGCTGCACAGCCTCTTACATAAATAAGTTACATAAATGAGAACAAGTTATGTAAATGTATAAACCAGCAAACACGAATCATAGCCATTCACAAATGCCAAGGAGAGCTCAGCAAGATTCCTCCCACAGTCCCAACCTCCCCTCCCTGCCCTGCCACAGTCCCAGTACCATACTAATTGTGCCATTTTATTTCACATCCGAATCAGATGTGGTTATTTGTCCTATCTGTCTATTAGGGAATGAAACTCCAAAGGACAAATGATATTTTTCATGATTTTCTGAACCACACATTTTACTTTGAGGGGAAATCCCAGAATGGATTTAAACTAGTGTTGAAAAGACATCTGAGTGTTTATCAATTCGCTCAACTCACTGTATGATCACGATCACATTTATTAGCTGTTTACCACTGCACGTTTGGCAAGCTGCTGTTACGGACAAGAATGCATCCCGTAAGTCAAAGGGCACGTGCATAGGGATACTCAGTCTTTGGGATTTGTAGCTTCAAGCTGGTCTGTGGGCATGTGACTCAAGTCATCGTTCTGCTGGCTGAGAGGTCGCAATTCAGGGGGATTAGGATTGGATTTAAGTTCATGCCTGTGAATACACACCGAACAATTAGGCCACGGGGCTTGGATCCCACTACAACTTGCTGTAGGCGCAATGTAAATGAAAAGTGACCTTGTGTGTCTCTGCACCTTGTGTGTCTCAGTATTTTCTCGGTCAGCTTTTTGTTCATTCCCTTTTGGGGAATGAATCTATAACTATTATCAATACCATAACATAGCAGTTAAATCCTCTCTCTTCATTACTTGTGTGAATTCGGACAAGTAAACTTTTCTTTTCCAACCGTCTGCAAAGTAACTAAAAAGTTTTAAGTCTCTTCCAACATTAACAACCCAGAACCCTATATTCAAAACTATAAATATTTTCAATTGAGAGTTTTACACTCGCTGCTGTCAACTTCCAGGAAGTATAACCCATTACCTACAAGTGGGATCATTTCTTTTTGTTCTGTCTGTAAAGCTGCAGACCCAACTCGGGATGTAGGGAGAGAGTACCTGCCGTGGGCAAGGCATCTTTCCTTGGGGAATACAGACTTCCCCCAGCTGGAAGGGGGATACAGCCGGCACCCCAAGAACCCGCGAGCTAGGAAATGAGTTTTGAACTGGAAAGGCCGCGGCCACTTGGCACCAGAAAAAACTGGAGGGAGCTGCGGACTTTTGCGTTTGTGTCTAATGTAGACCGACGGTAGTCGAGTCACGAAGTCGTCAGACGGCACTTGTCGCGGGCCCGCCACCTCTGTAACCTGAGGCATACACCTAAGACGCCACCCTGCACCTGACGACCCGGACTCCGCGCAGGGCGAGGGCGCAGGTCCCCAGCCCGATGGGGCAGTGCGTCGGGGGAGCGCGGGCGGCGTGGGCCTCCGTCCCGCGAGGAGGGGGTCCACTCAGCACAGCAGCGCCCACCGAGCAGAGGCGAGGGAGGGGGCCGCTGCAGGCGGGGTCGTCGGCGGGGAGGCCAGCCCCGGGTGGGTGATAAAGGATCCTTCGGGCTTTGTTTAGTAACACGCCAGGCCCTGCTCTCCCGAGAAACCAATTAGATCCCCGCTGCGGGATCATCTGACCTGCGTCCCCCACCCGCAGGGGGCTCGGAAGGGGCGGGGCTAGGCGGGGCCGGGCCGGCGACTCCTCGGGAACGCGGCCGCGGGTGGTGCGGGGGAGTCCCGAGCGCTGGACCCGGACCTGGGCCCGCCCCTCGGCAGAGGCCCCGCCCCACGCAGGCCCCGCCCCCGGGGCTTCCCGGGCGCGCGCCGCCCCGCCGTGTCCGCGCGCCACGCCCCCCTGCTCGCGGGCCGCGTGCGGAGCCGCGCGCCCCGTAGGCTCTGGGACCGTGGCGGCGGGCGGCGGCGGCGGCGGCGGCGGCGGCGGAGCAGCCGTCCGCGGGCCATGTCTTCTCCGGCCGTGGCGAGGGGCTCTCCGGGAGGGAGTCGGGAGACGGCCCTCAGGCCCCGGAGCCGAGGCCGGTTTTGGGAAGTGGGCGGCGGCGGCGGCGGCGGCGGCGGCGGCGACCAGCTGGAGCGCGCGGCCGCGGAGTCGGAGCGCTGGGAGCTGCTGCTCCGCCGCGGCGAGCTGCTGGCGCTTGGCGGCCACCTGAAGGGAGCGCTGGAGGCGTACGCGGCGGCGCTGCGCCGGGGGGCCCCGGTCAGGGCCGAAGTGCCTCTGGCCCCCGGTTGGGCTGCCTGGGGGTTTTAACTACGGGTTCCCCCCCCGGGGTGGGGCTGGAGCGCCGGCCCCCGCCTGCCGGCGCCGGGTCCGGCCGGGGCGTTTCAGCTGCCGGGGCCTGCGCGGGTTTCTCCACCGAACCGGGGGACGGTGGCCCTTTGGCCATAGCTCTCCCGCCCCCCGCCCTGCGGAAAAAAATCCGGTCCGCTCCGCCTCTGCCGGGACCGGCTGCCGCCCGCCGCCGTCGCCAGTGCCGCGGGTGCTGAGGGGACCGGCCCGCGGCCGCCGCCTCTGGCCGCCGCCATCGCGGCCTCGGACTTCAGAACCAGCGTCGTCCTCAACCACCTGGCCGAGAAGTGGTTCCCGGGTCAGCGCGAGCGAGCCCGGGCGGCCGGCCGGCTCGGGGAGCTGCTGCTTCAGGGGCGCTACCGGGAGGCCCTGGCCGCCGCCTGCGAGGCGCTGCGAGCAGGTGACGGCGCGGGGATGCGGCGCGGGCCCGACCGACCCCACCCTCCTTTCCCGGGCGGGCCGGGTACCCAGAGCGGGTCTGCGCCCTGGGGCAGGCTCGCCCTGCTTCCCCGGGGGCCGCTGGGCACTCGGCGTGCGGGATCTCGGGGTGCTCGAGGGTGTGGGAGGGGGCGGCGCCCGGGGTGCTTCGGTCACAATGGGGATCGCCCTGGGAGCCCACTGTGACGCGGCGCGGGGAGGGGCGCGCGGGCGCGGGGTTCCCTCGGCCGCGGCCTGGCGCTCGGGCGCGCGCGCGTGCGGCGCGGAGCTGCGGGCCCCCGGGCCGGAGGCCGCCCTGGCGCGGGATGGGTGGGAGCTGGGGGAGCCCGAGCGGCCGCCCGCTTCCTGCCGCGCTCTTTCCGGGAATTGGCGGCTCGGGCCCGGCAGGGCCGGGCCACCCCGGGGGTGGGAGACGACATCGCGGCGGGGCGGGGATCCCCAGCCGAGGTTGGGCGGGCTAGGTCTACCTTCCCGACCCGCAAAAGTCACCGGGGCAATTGGAAGCCGCGGGAGGGCAGAATTGCATAAGCTGGGGTGGAGGGGCGTTGTGTAACGGGTGACGTCCGGTGGGCGTGGCGGGAGCTCGGCGCCCGCACCCAGTGCCGCGAGGCCCCTCCGGCCGCGGTGGTCAGCTCCTACCTGGAAGTGCCCGCGGAGTGGGTGCATCTTGAGGCGTCCACCTGCTCTTCTCAGGTCACGCCGGTTTCATTGTGCTGACTCCGGAATACGCCCAGCCCAGGGCAGGGATGCAGAGGTAGTCTCTAACCCAGAGTTACCGCCTCGCTTCCGTTCGCCTTTCCACTTAAGATCGAGCCCAGGGGGAAAGGCCGTGTAGGGCTTTTGTCTCTTCCTTTGTCTCCAGGACGCACCCTCGGCTTCCCAACTTCAGTTAGCACTTTTCCCAAGGCGGTTTTACATTGTGCCAGACGCGCCTGTAAAACTTCCGTTAGAAAAAATGAAGTTCTTGGATCAGTTCTTTTACTAGGGGGGGGGTTTCACTACCCCCTCCCCAAGGACATTATCCAGGGCAACATATCTGGCAGTGTCTAGGGACATTTTTGGTCCCCACCTCTTGTAGGCGTGATGCTGGTCCCGGCACTGTGGGCACTGTGCGGCTGACCTGCCACCGCCAAGAATGCAGGCCCCAGACGACCATCAGTGGCACTGTGGGCGACACTTGTATGAAGTGGATTGCAAGATTTTCATGTCGCTGTGTTGGCAGGAAATAATGCTTGGGGGAAATAATCCCCAAGGAAATAGACATGAAATATTAAACTGACTTTGGGTGTTAGGTAAGTTTAGACACTGTGGAACTGAAAATACCCTCCTGTGGGTGCTTAGTCATATTGAACCAGTGACAGTGTCTTGAGTTATTTAGAACCTTCAGAGTTCACAGCACAAACTTGCCATGTTTTTGAGGCCTTTTAGTGTGTCTGTGGAGGAGGCAGTTGTAAAATATGGTAATAGTCTCAGAACAAAAGGAAAATAATTGGGTATTAAATTCTGATACACCTGACTGCCTCTTGTGGGCAAATAAGCCAGAATTGGCTGGATAGAACACCTATCACAGACCATGTGAGAAAGCAAGGGCTGGAGCAGTGCAGTGACTTGCCCCAGTCACACAGCTGGCTGCTTGGAGAGGCAGCTGTGTGTCCCTTTCTAAAGTGGGCCTTGTGTTCATCTGGTCTTTATAGGTCATCCACTCAAGTGCTCATGCACATTTCCCAGGAGGGTTTTCTATCACTAGTATAAAATAGAGGATAAAACTCACCAACAGCACTATTCAGTATCTACGCCTGACATGGTGATATGACATTCTTTTAAATTAGGTTCTTTATAAGCTTTGAGGTCCTATTCCTTGGAAGAATAGTGAACACATTACAGATTTAAGTCTAGCTTCATGTTCTGTGACTAATATTTTTTTGAAAGTTTATTTTGTTTATTTGAAATGCAGAGTGATAGAGACAGAGTGAGCCCTTCCATCCTCTGGTTCACTCCCTAAATGCCCTCAGCAGCTGGGGGCTGAAGTCAGGAGCCAAGAACTCTATCTGGCTCTCCTATCTGAGTGGCAGAAACCCAAGTACTTGGGCCATCAAATGCTGCTTCCTGAGTGTGTAAGCAGGAAGCTGGATGGGAAGCAGAGGTGGGATTTCATCCCCAGCATGCAGATACGGGATGCCAGCACCCCAAGCAGTGTCTTGCCTACCTGACCAATGATGCCAACCCCAAAGACTAATATTTAGTTAAGGAAGCTTCTGGGCCTTGTATGGAAAACAACACACACACACATATACACACACACATGTGTACATATGTACATACATATATAATTTTTTAAACAGAAAAATACTGAAAGACCTACTCTCTTTTTTAAGTTACATAAACTGCACATAAGGATTTTGCTTGTTTAGCTACTTAATCCTGCTTTTATATTACTAGAACCCAAGTCCCAACTTTCACCTCATTAGGCCTTTGAAAAATTAATTCCAAACTTGAAAATGTGCCTGATTGGTATTAATGATGACACGTTTCTTTACCTTTTGATTTCTTGGTGTGAAGTAGGAGGAAAAAGATTAGAGTTAACAAATTATAGTCAGTAAAGGGCAGACTTATAAGTGATTTACAGTTTATGGGTATAAATAGAAACATTAACTAGTAGAGTTGTGTCTATTTGTATAGTTGTTAGGTTTTAACTTCTTTGGAGTTGGCAAGTTGGTGAGATAGGCACCTGAAATGTATGTATATCATTGTACAGTTGTTGTTATTAATGAAACTGCCATTGTTGGTAAGGAAAAAGACCTTCACTCCAATTTCTTAACACAATTCTTAAAATGAATCAAGTAAATGCTGTTAACTAGAAAAAATAGTCTGCAGTAAGCCCACACACATTCTAACGTATCCCTGTCAACAGCAAAGGAAAGCTTGAAAACCTTTGCCAAAATCACAAGTTTCCCATTGGGATTACATAAGTTCCTGTTGAATTGAAATATATTTAGATAACATTTAATCCATTGATCTTTTGGTATTAACTCTCAGATGTTTCATAACTTTCTTTTAGTATTCAAGGATATTATGTAAAAGTCTTGTCTGCATTGGAGCTTTATACTCGACTTTAGTGAATGATCCTACTGTGTAATGCTGTCTTCCTTTTCTTTTTAATGTATGTTTATACTGCCTCACCTCCTGCCTGTGTTTACCCCAGTCCCCAAAAGAAGACAACAGAACAGTATATTTTTCTGTATGACCTGGAGTAAATAAAGGTCATAAAGGGGAAGACATTTTATCTAAAATATTTGGGGAAGAAAAATTTTGTCTTTACTATTATGTGTCGTTTGACTATTAGCCAGTGTTTTTACAATCTTTATATCATTTGATCTCCACAGAGTCCTGTGGAGTCACACTGTCCTCAGAAGGAAAGTGAGGCCCCTCGAAGGAGAGTGAAGTGTAGCATAGTTATTAAAGCTGGGCTGGCTTCAAACAGGCTGCCTCTATCTTCTCTCTGATCCCAGGCATGTTGCCTCACCCGCTCTGTGTTTTCTTTCTCCATCCAGAGAGTGAGAATAGTGTCTACCTCAGAGGGTTGTTGTGAGAATCACACAGGTTCAAACATGGATTTCTTCAAATGGCACCTGGCACAGTCAGTGCGCAGCAAATATTAATTAACATACTTTTTAAATGTACAACTTATAGTATAGATGAAAGATGGCTTAGTGAAAATTTAAATCCAAATCTTGTGATTTTAAGTCTTCTGTCACATTAATAATATAACCAAAGTAGAGGTAAAATCTTGACTTTAGTTTGCACATATTAAACAGCAGTGATATTTTAGCATATATCATTTTTTTAAAATTTGTTTTGTTCAGACTAAACCCAAGGGAGGCACAGAGCAAGGTCATTGCAACTGTTATGTGGGGACTCTGTGGGGATTTCACTGTCTCTAAGAGTACACCTTTATTCCCAGCCCTAAGTTGCTACCATATGTTTTTCTGTTGTTTTATGGTTTATTTTATTTTACTTGAAAGAGTTACAGAGGCAGAGGAGAGAGAGAGAATGAGAATGTCTTCCATCTTCTGGTTCACTTCCCAAATGGCTGAAACGTCCAGAGCTGGGCTGATCCAAAGCCAGGAGCCAAGAGCTTCTTCCGGGTCTCCCATGGGGGATCAGGGGCCCAAGGGCTTGGGCCACCTGCTGCTGCTTTGCTAGGCCATAGCAGATGGCTGGATCAGAAGTGGAGCAGCCGGGTCTTGAACTGGTGTCCATATGGGATGCTGGCACTGCAGGAGGTGGCTTTTACCCGCTACGCCACAGCACCGGCCCTATCATATATCATTAAAATACAGATACTATAAAGCTTAAATTATAAGATTAGTCAAACTATAGGTAAATGTGAATGTATTTGAAGAATATCTTTAGCAACTTGATCAAGTTAAAAATGAAGATACTTGAATTTAATCAATAATATTTGTGCTTTTGCTTATTGTGCAAAGAACTTGCAACAGTAAACATTGATATTTATATGGTGCTTTATAGGTCACAGTATTTTCACTTCCATTTTCTTAATACTTACAAGAAGATTTGAGATAAGAAAGCAAAGGTTGGGACCCGTAATTAACTAGAGGACTGTAGAGGACAAAAGCCCCAAGGATTTTAGAACTTTCTCAAGGCAAGTAAGTCACTAAGTTAGAAGTCAAAGCCAAAATATATGTTGCTTCAAAGCATAAAGTTGATGTAGAATTAGCATATGAAGCATAATCTTACGCATTCTTACCATCACTCAGCAAATATTTAGTAAATGCTTACGGTATACTGAGAGTTTTAGGTGCTGAAAATACAGAAGTGTGCAAAATAAAGTTTTGTCCTTATTGATTTTGCAGTTTTAATTTCTATTATAAATGCAACAAATTGATGATGAGTCTTTCCAGAAAATGGGGCTTACTGCTTAATTGGCTTCTTATTAGCAGA